CAATGTTGTAAATACTTGAAGATGATGAGGTTGAGAGAGTAAAAAGGCCATTTTCGAAAAAAAATAAAAAAAAAATTTAATGGCATTTTCGTAAATAAAATGAACATGTGGGGTGGATAGGACAAAAACAAGATGAGATAAAAGAAGAAGTTAGTTTTGTGTTTGACCATGAGTTTTGAGTCAAATTTGCAAAAAGCCCTATAAATTATTTTCAAAATTTTAAACTTGAATTGTAATTTCTTTTATTCTGGCAAAGTATATTCAACTTATATTAATTTTGAGAAACAAAAGAAATTAACATTCAAGTTTTAAATTTTTTAGAATAATCTAGATATGGACATTTTGTAAATAGTTGTAAAACATAAAATATATTTAATTTTGTATAATAAATATTTTATTATTTATATTTTAATATTTATAATTTAATTAAATATGTTAATATATTTATAAGAATCAAAAATAATAATAACCAAAGTTTTAATTAGAAAAGATGAAAAGTATAATATCATATATAATTGCAAATCTGTAGTAATATTTAAAAATATTTATTTAGTCTAGTGGTTGATGTGACTGTTTAGAGTGACAAGGCACAGGTTTGAGTCCCAAAATGTGCATATTTTTGAAAAAACAATAAAATCAAAACAACGATGTTTTATCATTTTAACGGTTGACTAACTTTTGTTACGGTCAATGTAGGTTTAGACACGTTTTAAAAAATTCAGGTAATTATTTTGAATTATAATGTAATTCAGGTTGTATTTGACACTGACAGCTTGTTCGGGTTGTATTTGGCACGATTGAAATTATTTAGATAGATGATTAATTTATACTTAATTAGTAATATAAGATATATTTTTATAATCAACAACTAAATTCATATTTTTAAAAATAAAAATTGCAATGAAATTTTTTAAATTTTTTAAAAACAACAATATTTCACATTTAAATTATAATATAATTTTAATAACAAACATAACATAATATATATTTCTATATTATAGATAAAAACATATATATATATATATAACTTAGACACTAAAAATTAAATAAAATTTAACCATGATTTATTATGATATTTCAATTATGAAAAAGATTACATAGACGATTCGAAAATCGACAATACTACATGCCTTATGATGATCTATACCTAACTGCATCACCTGAGCCGTCCTATGAAGATTCACGCCTGGCCAAGTTTACTTGCACCATGTTGAAGATCTCTTGTAAGTTTTTCTTTCGTTGCAAGCATAATTGTTTTAATAAATCGCTTTCGCCGGGGATTGAAATTTGGACCTCCTAGTGTAGAAGTATTAATGAACCCTCAATCAAACCGCTAGACCAAGGGAGCTTCCGCAATAAATAAATTATATAACATATATTAATTTTTATGATAATGTTATACATGAATCATTTACTGCTCTACCAAAAAATAAATAATGATAATTACATATAATTAATTTATTTTTTTAATCATATTAAAAATTATGTTTATATCTAAATAATTTATTATTTTAAAATAAATTTTAAAATTTTAAATAATAATATTTCACCTAGAAAATATAATATAACTTATATAACGACTAAGATTTATTATTTTAAGAGCAATATATTATTAATATATATTATATATATAATAAAATATTTTAAAATAAATATATTATTATATTATAATTTTAAAATTACATAATGTTACTGCTGCTTTGTCAATCACTGTATTAAATTTTTTATTAAAACATACATTTCTACAGCATACAACTTCTACAACATACTGTTACTGCTTTATCATATGTTGTATTAGTCGAAACCTTAGTATCTGAATTTCTATACTTATAAACATGATCTATATTTAATTTTTAAAATAACCAAATCTATTTTTTAATATTATTTATAAACCAAAGTACGAAAAATTGTCAGAATACTTTATATCTGCAATATTTTAAATTATTCGAATTATCCAAAAAAAATAAGTAAAAAAAATCTGATATTAAATCTGATTTTCTGAATTTTTAATCTGAATGACCCGAAAAACAGAAATCGAATCGTAACCGAATGAGACATGAATTACCTCAGATATTAGTTAATTCTTAATTTTGTTACACAAACCGAACCAAAAACTAAAACTAATTGTACATAAACCGAACTGAATTTCCTAAATACCTAAACGGATCGTAAGAATTTAGAACTCAAGAATCAAAAGAGCCTAACTGAACTGAGAACCAAATCCTCAGGCTACTTTATGTTTAAAAAGTGAACTAATTCTAAGAAAAAAGGAAAAATATGTAAATTAATAGAAAAATATTTATAAGACATTTTCAAAATGTAAATAAAACTGGCAGATTGAATCACATTAAAGGGCTTATTGTGATGCAATTAGACATTAGTTTTAATAAGATATATATAACTATCAGTTATAGCGTCATTTATGTAATATTTCTCATCTGTAAGTATAATCAATATGTATAGGACTGTGTAGCCTTCACCAAGTATATGCATGAATCTAATTTGGCTGACTCTCTAGTCATCAAATCATAGGCTCCAATGAAGGAATAAGAGAAAGAAAAGAAAAAAGTGTTTTTTATAGAACAAAAAATGACATTGTTATTCAATCAATTGTAACCAAATGGTGGTGATAGCTCAATGACAATCTTTTGGAATTTAGTGTGTGTTCACATCAATTATGATTTGATTTTTATTGGGGACTATATTATTATTATTTGATCAGTTTAGATTCAGATTTCGACTCAGGTAATTAACATGGAAAGTTCAGGATGGTTAACATAGTGGGTTATAACATATGATCGATCTATCTCTGGTATTCTAAACTTAAATCAGACAGTATGATATGTTTTCGAGATAGTCTAATGTGTTACTGTGTAGTACCGAGTGCATTCCTCCCAAAACTGATCAGATTGGTTTATAAAAAATACTATATTTATTACATTACGTCATGTTAAACTTGATTGCTAATATTGTATACTGAAACTGAAAATGCCTCAACATGGCACACTTACTTCACATTCTTAATCATCACAACACACGTTTTATTCTGAAAAAAGCACAACCGTAACTTTCAAACACACAAACATGAGTCCCATGACACACTTACTCCAAAGTTATTTCATTAATCATCTTGGTGTGTCATCATTATTTATCAGCATTGTGGGTAGAAGTTCTCTTTGTGGAAGGAGAATCTAGTTGCTGTCTTGTGTGTGAACTCCAAAGCTAGCTGCCTTAACTCATCTGCCAATGCGACTTCTCCACAATAAAACACTCCTGCACGTTTATATAGTTTTATTTTATTTCATACTATTCTCTGTTTTTTTTGTGTCATTAACTAATTAGATCAATGAATGCTATTAGATACACCAATGCTTTACAACGAGTACAACTATTGAAGCTAAACTAGTATTTACATGATGTGACAGTGACATATAATCATGCAAATTTATGCAAACATTCCCATAAGTGCACTGAGATAGAGCTTACCAACATGAGAGCCAGAGTGATCCATGGCTATCTGTTTGTAGACGTTTTGCCAGTTAGGTTTGGCGAAGTGAGTCATGGCCCTTGTCTCAGAGACAATGTCCACACCGTTTTTGGAATAGTTCAGAGACTGAAGCATTTGTATGAACGCAGAACGAACATCTCCTTCTTCGTAGACGCTAGTGCAATAGTTATTTACTTCTATGACCCCATTTGTGTCGCGTTCTGCTACCTCATTCATGATGTTTTCAAACCAATTATATGAGCCTTGCTCCTTTGTTAGCCAGTAGAAGTAAGCCTTTCGAGTCACTGTTCCGTTGAGTTGGGAATGTTCCCTGGCCTCCGTATATTTGATGATGTCCTTGATAATGCTGATCATTGGGGCGACCCCAATCCCAAGCCCGACCAGTAAAACCACCTTATATTTCTTGTAGTCCTGTGCCGGTGCATCGTATGGACCATCGACCATGATTTTGGGAAAACTTGGTTGGTCTACCATATCAATATTAACATGACACACCGGAGGTGGCATACACACCTGATACATAACCCAACATGTTACTTAAGCTGTCTTTCCTCTTTAACATATACAATGATTTATATAAATTAGACCTCATAGAGAACTTCTTTGAGAGCATTTGTCCAATCTCCCATTACTTTTATATGGATGCTCAGATAATCATCTTGAGGCGAAGAAGTTATTGAAAATGGATGCCTGGAGACATTATCATGTGAAAAATGTCATTGACATAAGTTTCGCTAGGGTTATTGACTCTCTAAGAGTGTTAAGTATTTTTCCGTACCACTCAAATGTTGAGATTGTTGGGCAGTTTAGAAACATGTATTGACCGCTTTCGTATTTGAATTTTGTTGGCCTTGACATGTACAAACTCAACACGTTTCCAGGATACACAGTGACTTTCAAAATCTTTACCGTGTTGATACTTGATCTGAATGGCCTTATTAATATCTCGCATGCAGGCAAAGCTACTGGTACTGCCAAGTACATCGACGTCTAGAGCAAGTTAAACCCTTTGAGTTAGTTAAATTTTTCAATCCTGAGATTTAAGATTATTGATAATGTTGAACCTAAAAGTACTCACCGTTTGCCAGCTATCTGATACGAAGTGTCTCAGTCCACTGTACCATCTCTTTAACGGTTTAGGGTCACGAGTAGTCTTAAGCTTTAGACTTAGCATTTGGCTTAGCCTCTTGCTGTCTTCACTATCCCTGCGTATATGTTGTGTTTCCGCATGCAAAAGCAAGATCTCAAAACTCTCTATCTGTTTTAGATTCACCACAGAGTTAGATGGAGAAAGCTGTGTTGAAATATATATTGGTTCTCATATAATCATCATCAAGAAATCTTTTACCATGATGTATCCCACATCATCTGGGTCAAGCTCTTCCATTATCATTGCTGCATATTCTTCTGTCTTTTTTTTAATGTTCGGCAAATTGTTGGTGGATGAACTAAGGTTGATGATCTGCGAAACAAACAAAAAGACAGATTAGATTACACCTATTATAAACATTTTCATATTTTAAAGAAAAACATTTTTAGAATGATGATTGTTATTTGGTATTCCAGTTTATTGTGTCATTTTTCTAATATATAAACTTACAATTTCTCAGCGTATTTCCGTCTGTGAAGATATTCAATATATATATATGAACCCAAAATATTTGATATTTAAGAATGAACGTTTTTCATAAATTAACATGCAACACAATAATTAATTAGTGTAAAACTTTTACCTGTTTGACTTGGTCTTCAGTTAATCTACCATTGGCGTCTTTATCAATCCTGCACTTCACAAACCCTTTTGTCTTAAACTCACATTTATTACCTAGACTTTTAGAAAAACCAGATAAATGCATAAAAATATATTAAAATAGATAATGATTTAAGATATCTTTACATGTCAAAGAAGGTTTGAAGCCTGGTATCAAAGCTTTGATCACTTATTTGTTCCCAGAACTCCCTTAACTGGTCGCCATCGATTATATCTGTTGTAATATGCCGTCTTCTAGCTAATGCATCGAACAGTTCCAGTGCAAAGTCTACCGAGTCCATCCCTAAAATCGCAATATTGTGATTATGATCATTTCTTCGGTTCAACATTTTCTCTAGTTTGTATAATTTTTTTTACCTATGCATTGTCCAAATTTTGACCTTGGCAGCAAGCCACCACTAGTGCCCGTGATCTCAACAAAGCGCCTTTCCACGGCGGTCCAGCCGGTAGCAGCGTCAGCCTTACTGATGAACATGAGCCCTTCAAAGGCCGTTGACTTACGCCGGTCTGATCTAGCTGGCCTACTCTCGAGAGAGACAGATGTCAAGAGCTTCACCTGGTCAGAAATAGAGGCGAGCCGCTTCGCGAGACCTGTCTGTTTATCCTTCACGCTTACCGATTTTCCACGGATCAAAGGTGATGATCCGCTCACTACTGAACCTAGGTCACTGCTCTTCTCTGTGTCCCAGTCATAGTCCGTTACGTCAAAGCTCTCTCTCTCCATTGATTCGTTATCGTCCCCCTTTTAATGAAATCTTGCAACGGAAAACAAAATGATGATTGAAATGGAACAGTATTTTTCTTGTGTACTAAAAAACATGGGAAGATTTAAAACACAAAAAAACTTGGCCACACACACTCTTTTTTATTTGCCTCGTCAACTCTCGTTTGATTAATTAAAGTCAGAATTATAAACCTAGTCAACGATTAATATTGTAGTATATGATATCTCTCTTGCCCACCTGATTGTCTTTTTTATGTACTGCCAGAGCATTTATCATGATTGTCTTTCTTTTTTTAACACTGAAAATACACAACTTCTTGAAGGATGCGTCTGTATTGCATTTGTGGGATAAAAAGTCAGCAAAAAACTTGTCTCACCACTGTCATGTCCTTTGATGTCTTCCGGAATCATTCCAGCTTTCACATAGTCATCGCTTCTCAATCCTGTCTTCCTCATCCCTTTATCTCTATCTCAATACGAATTATCGCTTTTCCTGCATGCTGGTGAATATTTATTTCCATTTTACTGGTTGGTTTTGGTCCTAACCAATAAAAATTAGTTACACACAAGAGGACAAAATCTAAAAGCCTACCGGAGTTGTAACTCGCATTCCCTTTACTACTAAATGTTTCCAAAAAACTCAACGGAATCAAAACACAAAAGCCAATATTCGACCCCACATATATCTCGTCTTTTCAAATCATCATAACTTTTGTCTTGGGATAAGAAAAACAGAGAGACGACTATTAAGAGAGCAAAGAACCAATCACTGGCTTGGTGAACGGTCTTCGTACTGCTCCTCACGCGGGCTGCGGCTTCCTGCTGGTATAGGTGTGTTGCTCCTCTTTCTCCTAGGGCTGCGGCTTCTGGCTGGTATAGGTGTGTTGCTCCTCTTTCTCCTGGGGCTCGGGCTACGGCTTATGTTTCTCCTCGGACTAGGGCTAATGCTTCTTCTTGGACTCGGGCTACGGCTTATGCTGCGGCTCTTACTTCTAGCTGGACTTACACTGCGACCCCTGGAGCCATTGGGTGAGCGCGAGTATGACCTTCCCCTAGCATATCGTTCTTCCCTGGGAGAGATAGACCTGCGACAATAGAGAGATGGTGAGCATTAAAAATGTTACTCGAGCGGAGAATGATTGTTTGTGCAGACAGGTGTGTAATGGAGTTAAAAACCTCGGATGATGTCTTCTAGAGGGAGGAGAATAATAATCACCACCCCGTGACCGAGATCTACCACGTCGAGGGGGAGGAGAGCGAGAGCGAGAGTAGTAACGAGGGGGACTACGCCTTCTGTCTCGAGAGCTCATGCTCCTACGAACACGAAAGAATTTTGAAGATCAGGTTTATTGGCATCGCTCTACATTAAGGACTTATTGATATTGATGATAAACTGAAAAAAAAAAGAAGAGAAAGATCCATGAACCTTCTTCCTCCACCACGCTCCCTTGCTCTCATTTCAGTAGGTTTCTTCCTGTTCTCTTCTGCAAAAACAACAGTCAGCTCACGGCCAAGTAGATGATAACCATCCATTTGATATTTTGCCTCAGCAGCATCAGCAGGATCCACAAACTGAACAAAACCAAACCCTCGCGGATCTCTGCATATTGAACAAAACAGGATCTCAGACTAGGAACCAAGCATTCAAAATGACGATGAAAATGTACCACTTTACTACAAGCCAGCTCGCAATATGATTCCCTGCAACAGAAGATATCACATGAAATAAGCAAGCACTTGCCTGCTAACTTCGCAAGTTTCAGTATAAAGAATGACTTCATGAAGACTTGTTTCATCTTCAAATCGAAGACAAACCCAACTTCACTCCAACTCTTTCACTACCATACATAACAACTTCATAAAATCTCTATTTACTTCTTTGATGTCTTCAATTCTTTAGCACTGCTAAACCTCAACAACTTCAATAACACACACACATAGTACGTTCACCCATGAAACATATCAAGCAACATTGAAGCCTGAACAGGCACTAAATTCAAAGAAGTAATCGACACTCTTTCTTTGATTGACACTGAATTATTGAAAACTAGGGGCTTAAGGCTTCAAGTGAAGATCTCATGTCATAGAAAACTATGAAAGAAAATTGAGGTTAATTATGGTTTATGGAATAAGAGCATATTAGAAGATTCTGGTAAGACCCTAGTATCCATGAGGAGACAAACGGAAATGGAAAAATGGAAAAGGGAAGAGAACTAACCCTAGTAAACAGATATTCAGGAAAATGGAGATATTATCTAACTAGAACAGAGGGAAAAAATCAAGTGTTTAAACAGTAAGTGTAACATCTAGTAAACATGCTCACCCAGTATAGTAATCCCTTGGCATGTAAATGTCCTTGAGGGGTCCGAACTGCTCAAATGACCTCCTGAGATCTTCTTGCCTGAAGAAAAGGATGACATGTAGAGTATGCATAAAAAAAAAGAAAAGACTGGAAGAAGGGATTCAAAGAGAAATCAAGTATGTATATACCTGCAATCATGACGTAGATTGCGAACCAAAAGACTGGTAGGGAGGTCAACACTACGACCTCCATATCGGCCTCCTCTAGGGCTTGGGGATCGACCCCTCCTCCCATAACCCCTTGGTGGTGGTGACGGAGTGTAGCTCCTTCCCCTCATTGTAACAAGCTTTCAACTTCTCTATCAGCCAATCAACAGAAGCAAATCAGGTACGAAAATAAACGCAAGAGTTGTGACACTAGAATACAACAGTCTTTCAAAGAAGCATTCAATTGGGATTCAAATCACCAAATCCAACCCCTAAAAATACTTACATAAAACAGTCTTTCAACCTAAGAATTGGGACAATCACAGAACATGTCACAGAGATAATTACCATGATACAACAAGTCTCTGATCTAGAAAGATCATCTCTGTTCCAATTTAAAACTAATATTATACCAAAAAACTAACTGAGATCGCAAACAGTTCACATGGAGACAGAATCGACTCAGAAGAGTTTTATGTGCATAGACACAAAAAAGACGAAAACTTTTGGGTCTACGATGCGATTCAATCCTTGAAAGAAGACTAAAAATACAATCTTTACAGACAACCAAAGAGCCTTAAACTACTACGAAGCCGTGTACAGGATAAAGAATCATGTCAGAATCATGTCAGGTAGAAAACGAGAAAACTAACATGGAAAAGACTTACCGGAGAACGAAGATCGGTGGTGACGAACGGCGGCGATAGAATAACAGAAGAAGCGGTGACAAGACGGATTAATGATCGAATTAGAAGGCGTTGCTGTTAGGGTTTTATATAGTCTTTTTCTTTACATTTTAACCCCCATAATATTGCTAATTACTGTTTTTGGCCTCAAAGAATTTATCTGATAGAATGTTCCCTTGATAAATTTAATTCTTGATAGATTTAATTTTGGTTTCCTTTTTAGGTAAAATAAAGTGAACTTCTTTTTTAAAATGAAGTACAAAACAATTCTTGTATATTTTGAAATGATTTCTTACAGATTTGCCTTCAATTTTTAATTAAAATCTAATCAATTCAATTATTATTATTTCTTGAATAATTCGACTTCATTAATTAAGAAATATAAAACATATCATAGCTATTTTGAAGTGATTTATTATATATTTTACATATTTTCTCACTCTTTTAGTTATTTCATTAGTTATTTTTAGTACAATAGTTCGTCATCATTTTTTTATATATTAACCATACTAATTCGATATGTTTGAATGAATTTACTCCATTTGTAACAAGAATTCAAAAAGTTTAACAAAGATTTTTTTCTGTATTTGTTTACAGAATCATTTAGATATAAACACTCGGATATTCGTTCATGTGCGAGTTATTTATTTCAGACATAATTTTTTTAGTTTTGAAATTAGGTTTCATTCGGGTATTAGAAATTTTTGGGTGGATTTCGAATCAGATATTCCAAATCTCAATGGATTCGATTTTCATGTATAGAAACCCTAGAATATCAAAAATTATTGTATCTAATTATATCAAAATAACCATATTAGCTGATTTGGTTTGTGTATTTTGAATTCAAACTATAAATAACCAAATAAATAAATTTAACCATATTAACCTATTTAATTATGATTCGATTTTGATGTATAAAAATTTAAAATATTCAGATACTTATAATTAATTATATGATGACACATATAAAATATATAACACTAGTTATTAAAATAAAATAAAATATTAGTTTATAAAAATATAAAAACTTAACGTCCCGCACGAACATGCGGATCAATCTCTAGTTTTGATTATGTTAGGTTCATAATGTTACCATCAAAATCTAGAGAATTATAAAGCAGCTAGATCAGGTCAGTGCGTTGCAACGAGTTTTTTTTGGTATTTTAATTCCATAAAGAATATAAAAATAACAAATAATTTTATTATATGTTTAGTATTTTTTGCATAAGTTGTGTGACATTTATTTTATAGTTACAAACTCATTAATAGAATTATATTTTAAAAAATTATCTTCCTAACAATAAAATTAGAATAACTTTTCAGAGAACATGTGGTGTCTGATTACGAACATCTATTTTCTCCATATTATTTATATATCTGAGTACATCTGTAACAAAATCATGTTATACAATAATGTTATTTCAAGCAAAATTCATTACAAATACCCAATCAATCGATAAAATATGTAATTTTTGACAACAAAATTGATATAAAAAATTTGATATAAAATTATGAATATTACCATATAAATCGTATGGAATCTTTCAATTGAGTAAAATCTTCATAATTTCGAAAAGAAAATTTTCAGACGATGTTTGAGGTAATTTTTTTCCACACATGCACTGGTTGTTCTTTTGGTTAATCTTATCTGAAATTTATGATCTGAGAGTTCATAGTTTTATTGCAATTTTACAAATTAAAATTGCATATTTCAATAAGGATTCCTTCACATAACTTATCTCTCAACTTTTCAATAAGATAATAATGTACATAACCTTTAATAGTATTCTCTTACATAATAAATAAATTATTTTAATAATGAAATTATATAAATTTTTTAATAAATAAAATATTTACCTTCTCATCAAGTAGATGAAAATTCATTCCTATAAAATCAATATTCTTGTTTAATTTTTTGCTTTGAGTTTCTAGTAAGACGTACTACAGTACAATGGTAAAGAAGTTTCTTAGTTAACTGATGTAGTGTTAAATAACTTTCCGAAGCTATTGTTTTTTATAAGAACCCTGGTAGCAAATTGAATTACGATTTTAGTTAGAAATAATAAATATAACAAAGACACATAAGCATAAATAAACGTATTAAAAGTAGTAAATTGGCATTGCCATTAATTTACCTAGCATAACTAATTTCAGATGGTTAATACAAACAAGCACACATAAGCATAATACCGACGTTAACTTACGTTGTACATCATCATAACTAAAAAAATAACACACGGAAATGTGAAAGATCATGCAAAAAACTCACTTAATAGTTTTCTTAAATCAATAATTATGTTTAGTGATCAAATATGAGAAACGACAAATATGAGAGAGCGTAGTCTTATATATATATATATATAAATAATTGTTATTCCTTTTGGTTTATGATCTTTTTAATTAGGATTTGAAAACTTAATACTCCATCTGTTCCTAAAAGATTAATATTCTAGTTTTTTCACACATTTTAATAAAACACAATAAATTTGCATAGTTTTTTGTATTTATCTTCTTAGGGAGAATTTCAATTATACCACTTTAGTGGTACCACTTTTCATGTTTACCATCAACAAATGAGCATTTTCAAAATACACATTTTATTAAAGGATAAAAGACTCTTATATCTTTATTCTTTATATATATATATAAAATAAATATTGAATAAAATATTAACCCTAAACCCTAAAACATCAATTCTAAACTCTAGACCCTAAAAAGTAAACCCTAAACCCTAAAAATCAACCCTAAACCCTAAAATATCAATTCTAAACCTTAAACCCTAAACTCTAAACCCTAAAAATTAAACCCTAAACCCTAAAAAATCAACACTAAACCCTAAACTATCAATCCTAAACCCAAAACCCAAAACCCTAAATTCTAATAGTATTTTGACTAAAATTTTAGTGGTAAAGTTGGTTAGTGTAAAATTGAAAAGTGGTATCTTGAAAGTGTTATTTCTGGCAATTTCCCTATCTTCTTTCCATAATTTTAAACCAATCAAAAATCAATTAGTGCAATTAATTTTTTTGAATTTTACAATTATTTAATAAAACATACATTGAAAATGTAAAAAATGGATCTTTTAGAAACAAATTTTTTTTCTAGAATATGTATCTTTAAGGAACGGAGGGAGTATTAAATACTCTTTTATAATTTTATGGTTTATTATTTTTAAAGGATAATTACTATCAATTTTTTTTTACATTTATATTTATATTTATGATTTTAGAAATGGAAAATTAGTTTTAAATAACTTTTTTGAAAAAAAAATTTGTATAGTATTTGTAAAAAACGAAAATTACTATTACTTTTTTTCAAAAAACCTTGTTAATATATGAATAATTATAGTTCTTTTTGGGTTATTGTCTTTTTAATTAGAATTTGAATAAAAGAAAATTAACATTAAACACTCTTTTACAATTTTCTGGTTTAATTTTTTAAAAGGATAATTAATTTCAATTTTTTTTTACAATTATTTTTTTTTTGATTTTGGAAAAGGAAAATTAGTATATAATAATTTATATTTAAAGATATTTTTTGGTATAATATTTGTAAAAACAAAAATTATACTATTTTTTCTAAAAATTGTGTTAATATGTGAATGATGATAGTTCTTTTGGGTTTATGATCTTTTTAATTAAGATTTGAATAAAATAAAATTAACATTAAACACTTTTTTACAATTTTTGGTTTAATATTTTAAAAAGAATAATTATTATCAAATAGTTTTTTGTAATTATCTTTTTGTAATGATTTTATAAAAGAAAATTAGGGTTAACACATGTCAAAATCTTATATTATAAAGCTTGATTAATTATTAGATATATAACTAACAATCTTATTATATAAAACTTGGTTAATTATTAGATATATAACTGACATGTGTCACAATCATGTTAATTAGTTACTTTGAAAAATAAAATTTTATATAATAAAATTTTATAAATAGGACATTGGTGTTATTTGGGTAAGAAATGAAACTTATAGGGGGAAATAGTAAATAATAAAAGAGTTATTCTGATTCTTCTAGACGGTTTCATATGCCTCTCTCTCTCTCTCTTCGAACTTCTGATTTCTTACATAACAGAGTAAATAATATCCTTCGTGATTCAACGGATTCTCTCGTGTTTTGCCATACGACATCGTTAAAGCCAAGCCCTTCTTATACAATGGAGGAGCAGTTCATACTTAGGGTTCCACCCTCTGTTTCAGAGCGAATAGATCGTCTTTTAAGCGACGAGGCTTCTACTTCCGACGAAATCCCTTTAGATTTGTGTTTTTCAGGTTTGGCTTCCTCTTTAATTTAAGGTTCTTGTCTCTTTTAGCACATTCAATTGGGTTTGATCCTCCAAAGTTTCATTCTTTTTTCCTCTGGTTCGTTTCACGGATTGATATTTCATACTTTGTTGAATATGTTTGCTGATAAGACACTCTTTTCGTATCATTCTTGAATCTGTTTTAAAAAGTGTCTCCCTAGAGGAACTTGATATTGTGGTTTCTGTAAATTCAATGTTTTGTCATTCTTGAATCTCTGATTTAAGGATTAAAGTTTGTGTAGAGATCCATTTAACATTTTTTTGTCTATGGATCAAACTTGATCATTTTGAAATAACCGTTTCTGTTTTGGGCAGAGGATGGGAGAAGCGGGACGTTTATGATTGGAGACGAAGAGTTCCCGGCTTCTCTCCTGGATCTTCCTGCTGTTGTTGAGTCTTTTAAAACTTATGATGATTCTGCATTAGTCAAAACTGCTGATATTGGGCAGGTAAAATATCAATTTTACTTTTTTTGACTAATGATAGGTTCAAAACTACTGCTTACATGTGTTTTGTTTGACTAAAAAGCCTTATAATGATTGCTTTTATTTGGCCAGATGATCATGGTTAGGGAGCCAGGTGATCCTGCGCCTAATACAGTTGAATACAGACATGGTCTAACTCCTCCTATGAAGGATGCTCGTAAGAGAAGATTCCGTCGAGAGCCTGACCTTAATGTAAACTTTCCTTTGTTTTGTATTATCAAAGAGTTCTTAACCGTTACATTAAGTAGAAAAGCTCTGTTGGTCTTGGGAAACCCAATAGGTTGTGATTTGGAAGATGCTTACTTGTTCTGACGTAATATGTTTATTGTCAAAATGTTGCAGCCGGAGCTTGTACAGCGCGTTGAGAGAGACTTGCTGAATATCTTGAGTGGTGGAACAATCGGAAACGTACATTTGTTTTAGTCTGATTGCTTAATTGATATTGGTTTCAGTACTACTGTAAGTCAGGTCCATTTTATACCTGAACTTTTTTGGGTGTGTGTAGGTAAATGAGCAGCAAGAGGAAACAGTTGCGAATGAGAATACTAATAATAATGCAAACAAGGTCTCTTCTTCTTCACCTGCTGCTGATACACCTGGTGGAAAGCCTGAAGCTGCTTCTGAGACAGGGACTACTACTAATAACAATAATGCAACCGAAGCTGAGCCGGAGAGAAGTGAATCAGAAGATTCTGATGATTCAATGTGAGCGGTTATTTATGTAACGAACATCAAAAGCTATAGGATATTAGGATGTCAATGTGATATGGTCGAAAAGCCAGGAAATTTGCATAAGGGTAACGTTTTAAAGAAACCAACCCAGCGATGATAGTAGTGTGGATAGAATTTAGCCGCCCTTACACACATCAGATAAGTTTGTATAATTCACCAAAGCATAGTTTGTATGGCCATCATCGACTTTGACCTAATGTTTTTGTTGTTTTTTTTTCTTTGAAGAATGCATGTATGGACAAAGGAAAGTGTATGGTATACCAAATTAGTTTGTTTTCTTGAGGGTTTAGTGGGATATCATTGTCAACGAATTGATTGCGCAAACCATGACTATGAAAGTATAATTAGGAGGAGGTTTGTTTTCTCAATATACGATACTTTGTTTAAAATAGCGCCTCAAGGGTTGAGGCGATGGGAAGGCCAAGCATGCCTCAACGCTATAGCGTCGCTTCGGGATGCCTCGTCAACTTGAGGCATGATCAACACCTACACGAAAGATTAGTTATAAATCATCAGGTTCTTTAACTCTTTGTAATTATCTTAGACCATTAAATTTTAAATAAATAAGAGTCCATAAAATAAAATTTAAAACAGAGAATTAATTCCAACAAAGTGTGCAAAAAACAGAGATCAAATCAACGTAGTCATAAAACATAGAATCAAACTACCAAAATCTTAAAACTGAAAATCAAACCAACAAGATTTTAAAACTGAGAATCAAATTCTTCGCTGCCTACATATCCAACAACCATATTGCTTAGGATCAGCAGTTCCATACTTTCTTGCTGGATCAACTTGCTTAGTTGAAGTAGGCATGGTGATAAGAAAAGAGTAGAGAGATTGATAAACATAGTAGAAACAAGAAACAAAAGGTTTTTTAGGTTTATAGACCAGAAGTGCAAGAGACGATGAAATATATTTTTTCAAAAAAGTAAAATATTAATTAGTCAACTTGTACGTGACTTGAAGTTTTGGAACCATAAACAGAAAGTAAATATATTCTTAATCATAATTGATAGGAAACTAACCGTTAGTCGCCAAAGCATTGAAGCGTGATGAGGCGTGAGGCATCTGAAGCGGCTTGAGGCGAGGTTGAAGTGTCGCTTTCTCGAATTCGCCTTGCCTCAGGACTCCGAGGCGGTGAACCCCAAAATAAGGTCGCCTCACGTCTTAGCAACGCTAAGGCACACTTTTTTAAACACATGTTAAAGTGGGTTTGAAAAATCATCTCTTAAATCGTAACTGTTGCCAGTTGCCATCATTGGTCCATTGACATGCATGCTTGTGTACACTGGGTCTGTTTTGCATGCTAGAGATGTTAAAACGGGCTACCTGATCCGTTTAAGTCCTGTCCACTGGGTCTGTCTAAGTCATGTCCATTTATAACGTTACCAGTCTAAAGCCTGTGAACGCATGCCCATTTAACCAGCGAATCCGTTCAAGCCCGTTTAACTGTGAGTTCGTTTAATATGGAGATATCCGTTTAGGCCTGTGAACCCGTTTATTTTTAAATACAGTTTTTTATTTTTTTTTAATATAGATTTGTTGTTTTTTTGCCATGTAAATCGGAGGATAACTCCATATACCCTTACCCTCTAAAAATCATTCATACTGCCCTTACTCTTTTCTTAATCCCCTTTTATCTCTGTACTTCCCAAATTAACCTTTTCTTATCTCTTTTTTTCTGACCACTAGACCATAAATTTCTAACCACTAGACCCCACAAACAATTTTAACCAATTATATTATTCAATCCATTATCTTTCTTCTTCCCCAAACGAAAATTGTTTTCTTATTCTCCATTAATGAAATTTTAAGCTCAAAAATAAGGTATTTATATTCGTTTTTGATGATTTTTTTTACGAATATCATTAAAATAAAATTTTTTTTATCCTAGGTGATAAAAATGTAAGATTTGATGTAAATTTCGAGAGTTTAAAAATATTTTTTATAACTGTATTTTTACATTTTGGGCTCATTTTATGTTCGATTTTGGTGATTTTTTTGTTGAATATCATTAAAATGAAGTATATATCATGGGTATGTAAATAATGTAAGATTAGATAGAAATTCAGAGAAATTGAAAACAAATTTGAAAACTATGTTTAGGTTTAAACTTTGTTGAACCTAAAAAAAGTTTAACTTTTGATTATGGAAGACTTCGTGGGTCTGCAGTACGGTAGAATTTTAAATTGTCGTAAATATAATAGTAATGGTATAATCAGAACAATGTTGTAAAAAAATATATTATTTCTTAAAATAAAAATTTCTGGGTATTACTAAGGCAACTGCATTACTATGGCCAAGTAATTTTACTAGTATTACTGGTATTACTAAGAAAAAATTCGCATAGCACAATCATTTATTTGATTATGAGGGAAATTATATGAATGATGGAGCTGAAATAAAATAGATCTCGGGAAATACTGAAGGAGAAGAGGAAATTTACACAATTGTGTTGAAGAAATGAGTGAAAGAGGTCACTTACTCTGGTTTGGTTGAGCGTATTTGCAGAATGATAAAGTAGAAGAATCTAGAGTAGTTTTCACTTAGAGGCAGTTTACAACTTTTTATTACACATTAAGTCACTTATTGCTATTAGGGCAGTTTTCTCTAACTCTTTACCTTCTTTTTCTAACTAAGACTAACTAAGTCTAACTAGAAAAAATTGCTAGTTTACTAAAAAAAAAAGTCGTGAACTTTTGAAACCCAAAAACCATCAAAAATAGTTTTCATCTTCTTTATTTTAATTTCCACCGATGATTAAACAAAACTGATGACAAAACTCAGAAAATTACAAAGGTAAATCGAAAGCACCATAACCCAGCTTATTTCTCCGCTTGTGTTCTATAATCTATCTCTGGAATGAACTCCTTCTTCGTCGCAACATGCTCAGATAGATGCAAAAGTTTATGGGAAATTTTGTTTTTCGTTTGATTTTAATCTGTCAAAACTCAAAATTTATGGGAAATTTTGTTTTTCGTTTGATTTTTGGATCTAATTGATTAATGAATACAATAGTTTTAGGTTTTAGAGGTAAAAATGAAAGAAAATGATGATTGTTTGAAGAAAATCAATGGCGGCTGTGAGATTTAGTTGCAGAAACGCAGGATGCCCTAATATGAAGAAGATCATTTAATTACAAAATTGCCACTCATTTAAAAATGTGTACAGTTATATGTGTACATGTGTACGTCTTCACATGTGTACACTCTTTATTACTAAAACAATGTACAGTCGTCACGTGTATACAAAATGTGTACAATGTACACATAAAACCCTACTTAAAAGAAGATGAACTAATTACAAAATTACCCATCATTAATTTTTTTTTTAATTAGATGACCACTGGATGTGTACACTAAGTTAGTGTACACATGTTCGTGTACACGAGTACTTTGGATGACCACGTGGATGTGTACATAATATTAGTTTACACATGTACATGTTAAAGAGATAAATTTGGCTTTATAAATATAAAGACAAAAAACGTGGTTTACGTGAAGTAAACAACATGATTATATATGTACATTTAGCAAACATTTGTGCCTAATATTTACTTTGCATTTTCCAATAATCCCAATGATGTAGTATACAAATATTATCAATTTGAAAGCTAAGAATGAAAAATATACATGGGAAATGAGTTTTATGTTATTCAATATACGTTTACTTTTTATCACTTTTTATTAATTTTGTAGCTTAGTCTCTGTGGATAATACATTATGTGTACTCTTTAATCATTTTTGTATATTCATGTGTTCTAACATATGTGATACACAGATGTGTACATGTTTCTTTCACATACATGAGCATGTTTAACGTGAACTCCTAACTAAGCAAAATATGACTAGTAAATGCGTACACGTGGACATGTTTTAGGAGTGTACATGTGTACACCTAAATTTCAATCAAAAAAAGGAATGTATCGTATGGTGAAAATGTGATAAGTAAATTTATGATTCTACATTATTCTTTCACATACATGAGCATGTTTAACGTGAACGCCTAACTAAGCGAAATATGACTAGTAAATGCGTACACGTGGACATGTTTTAGGAGTGTACATGTGTACACCTAAATTTCAATCAAAAAAAAGAATGTATCGTGTGGTGAAAATGTGATAAGTAAATTTATGATTCTACATTATTCAAATATGTACATGTTAAAGCTTTCTTCGTGGATTATAATGAATGTGCACATACTACAATATATAACTGATAAATGAATTTATGGTTCTACATTATTGGTTCACTTTCTACGTACACATGTACACGTTTCAAAGTGTACATGAAATATCATGTCCATTTGTCTTAAACTTCTAATTTCTTCAAGTTTCTACAAGTGTACACATCACAAAGTGTATACAGATGTCATTTGTTATTCTTGTTCAAAAACAAAATTGCTCTTATATGTGGCTATCTATGCATCGGTATACACGTGGACAATATTATATAAGTAAATTTATTGTACATGATAGTAAAACTTGTGTGTACACATGGACGTCATATGGTTGTATATAAAACAAAACAAAAAAGTGTGTATGAATTGACTAAACAAATATAAAAAATAACTGGATTTAATTATCAAAACTAAAATGTTTGAGCCAAAATCAAAAAAAAAAAATCATGTATCATATGTCCATTCTGATTTTTTCTTGTCCTTACATATGTATACATGTAAATTTATGTACAATGTGATTTTGTAAAAGTGTATTGTGATTTTGTACACCTATATTGTGTACACTACCACATTTGTTGGACATATGTACGTTATCAATCTTTAATTTACACATGTACACTAATGAATGTACATAACTTTACAACATGTTGAATATGCATGTGTCTCAAACATATGTGTACACTTAATTAATAAACATGTACACTTAGAATGTACATATGTACACATCTCTACGTGTACACGATTTTTTAAAATAATTAATTCATCAGTGGCATAATCGTAATTATGTCATATTCT